TTTTTATTTAGAATAAATTTTAGTTAGATTTTAGGCAGCGTGCTTGTATAATATTGTTAGATAGTAATTTACGTTATTCGACGTTGCTAACGTGCATCGTGTCTCCGTGATAAAATAATACACAAAATTTTATTGTTTTAGAATGATTTTTTTTTTTTGTACTACAATACAATATAATATTTTTAAATAAAAAGTATTTTAATTTGATTTAAATTATAAAGAATTACGATTTTTATATGCCGAAACAGAAAAATTTCCAGGGGGTTGATCCAGACCCCATGGTCACCCCTGGATACGTGATTGTCACCAATCAAAATTATGAATCATCAAAATTCAAAGTGACAACTATAATATTTGTTGATCGGTAGTCGTTATCGGTGATCAGAGTAATGTTAATGATATTAAAAACCTTGGCGTTGAACATAAAACAAATATGAATTAATATAGTTAATTATTTTAATAATATTACTAGATTATAAAAAAAGCTTTTGACGCCTCGGTGGCCATGACGCCTGATGCACACGCTAGGCATGGCAATGCTTATAGATACATATATCGTTTCAAAAATTTAGTTTAAGCTAAAGCATAAGTATATCACATTTCGTGTAGGTACTACGTAAGTAGAGTAAAAAAAAAAAATTTAAAAAATACTAATCCAATTGGATTAATAATTAGTAGGTATTTGGTGTACTGTAAATTGTTTCAGTATACCTACTTCACATTCTTCATGTTATCTAAGTATTATACTTGCTATTAAATATGTATATATATATATACGAGTATATAAAGTTTCTAAAATTCTAATATTTTATCACTTTTTTTGTGTGTATAATGTACACATACCTGCAATGCAGCTATAGCACTTTTACGCCTTCTGAAATAAAAAAAAATCATCTAGATGTATTTACTAGCTACTTTGAACACGTAAGTTTAGCATATATTTCAATTTCCTTGATAGTTTTCCTTATCATAAGAAACAACCACAAATAGTCGATAGAAAAAGTTTTTGGTGAAAGATAAAAATATACATAATGGTTTTAATAAATATGCGATCCAGTTTGTTTTTTGGATAAAATAAATACTTTATTATAACAAATATAAAGTTTATAAATTTGATCAAATTTATGGTCATTTTTTCTTTATTCCAAAATATTAATGTATAGAAAAATTATTTAAAAAATTATCAAATTATTTCGTAGTTAAAAATATATGAAAATTTTATAATTTATACTTAAGATTTGAAAACTGAATATAAGATTCTTTAAAAAATTTTCAACCTATATTGAAAATAAATTTTTTATATGGTACCACTTTTTTTACGAGCATTTAAAATTTTAACGAAATATATTAAAAAAATAAAAACTTACAAATTATATTGACATATTATTGTAGTTAAAAATGAATAAAATGTTCAATTTTTATATCATAGAAGATTCCTCATTTTTCATAAGTAATTAATATTAAAATTTAAAACCAAAATATCTAAGAAGTATAACTATAATCATAATTTTTTTATAACCAATTAAATTTGGACAAAAATAGATGTTTAAACGATGAATAACGATTTTAATTATTTTATTTTATTCTTATAAATGTCGTAATAAATTTATAACTGGACAAAAATGCTTGAAATTTAATACAAGACTCATTGTAAGTTGTTCATTCACCAATTAAAAAATATTCAAAATTTGTATTAACAATATTTTTTATAAGTTATTAAACTTGAAATTTATGAAATTTGTCAAAATCGTGAAAATTTACAAATTACCTATTTTGTAGTTAAGTAATCATAAAAAAATTTCTATTTATATCTAAAAATTGAGAATTAAAAACAAGATTCCTTATTAGTTTTTATGATCATTTTTTAAATAATAACATTTTCAAAATACTTTGAATTTAATTTAAATATTCAAATTTATGAGAATATTTAATAAAATTACTTTATCGCATATATTTTTATAATTAATAATTAATTTAACTTTAATCTTTGATAGTTAGTACGTATTAACTAAATAATATTTTTAAGACTCCATATATTAGAAAACTATTTCTCGATTTTAAATTCAAAAAATCTTTTTATAGTGTTTTAAATTCAAAAACATTTCCCTATATTATCCTTTAAAATTAGTATTTATTTTATAGTAATTTGTAAATTGGTTACTAACTTATAACTTGATATATAATTCCTGATGTGAAGAGTAATTAACTTAGTAGGCTTTAAATGAAAAAATAAAACCAAACATAAAAATAGCCATGTTTTAGATTATTTGATGATTAATAATAGGAATTTTAAACATTCCGCTTTTACTAAGTATACAATTATTTTCTGTAAACATTGAAAATTTAAAACTATTTACTCATTTTGAATTTATTTTACTACGAGCTTATTAACACCGTTCGAATTTGCATCGATATTAACATAGTATGTACGTATGTAAGAACTAAGAGGTAACAACAATGTATTAAAATATATTATGACATAACATTTATTATCATAGATTTTATAAGCTATGTTTTTGTAAAAAATTAGTTTAAAATAATTTTAATTCTACTAAAGTTCAATTAATAATGGTATAAATTAATTATTAAATATTCCGATGAAATAAAAATAAAGACCAACTAACAGATTACGCTCAGAATCGTTTGAATGATAAATTCATTAAATTCAAATTTAATAGATTTATTGCACTAAGTAAACAAATCAATTTCCCTGGTTTATAATCAAATACATTGTTTAAATTTTTAAGAGTAAAACCATGTATATTTAACACTTTTTTACAGAAAAAATTTTAAACCTAGTTATAATATTCTTTATTTTAACTTCTATAAAATTTCTACTCATATCACATTCATCACAATGTTAGATAAATTATTATATTTTTTTTATGTAAAGACTGCGATAAAATTCAAAGAATTTTGTGGTTTTAAGTAATAACCGTAATACCGGTTAGTTTGAAATCATCAAATTTTTCGAATGCAACAATTTATTGAGAACTTTTAAATGCTTATTGGAAAAAAAAATATTTATAGGTACTTTTAACTTTTTCTAATAATTGATAAGTGTATGTAAGGTAAGACTGTAAAAGTATACATAATATATTAATATGATCAACTGTTTTCCTATTACATACGTTGTATTTTACTATAACAATTTGAAATTTTTAATTGATTAGGTACCTATAACGGCTATAACTGATAAAATAACACAAGTAATAATTAATTGTAAAAGAATATTAGAGCCACAACTATAAGTTTTTGAATTTTGAAATTTTATTACGAAGATTGAATAAGTAATATGGACGTATACAAAATACAAATATACTTATACGCAATTGGCACTTTTATATATTATCAAAATATTATGATAACTATGAATTTTTGAATAATCTAATATATAGGTATTTATTTATAGTGATTTTAACTTTTTTAATTTTTAATGTAGGTATCCAATAACTAATAACTAATTATATTTGATGAAAATGTCATGTCTGTGGTCATTCATTTTTGAAATAGGTACAACAAAAACCATTTTATTAAAAACTAATATTGCTTAAATATTGATTTTTTATAACTTTTTTTATTTATGTAGATTATTTTTAAAATTATTTGAAAACTTTTACTTTTAATGGAGCTTAAAGTACTCACCCTTTAGATTTAATTTTTTAGTAGAAGTGGAAGAATCAAGAAACTATCAGAAACCGACTATTTTCAAAGAGTTCAATATAGATAATTCTCATGTGCATATAAATTGAATAAATGTGCACGTAGTGAAGTAATAATTGATCCTTAGTGGAAGTGCCTGTGTGTAATAAGAATACCGGAATGTTCCCGTATGTTCACACATAAATACCTACATTATGTCATTACCTATATATTTACATACCTAATTGTCAATAACGTATAGTATACAGTATACACGAATATTAATTATCTTATTTATTTATTTTATTAAAAGTATTAATCTTATAATTTTTGAAAACTTATTTGAATTCGTTTTAAAATTTTCTTGAAATTTAGTTTTTAATATTTTTTTTACTATAGTTTTTCCACTTTCATTTATTGATATTTTAATTATCTTATTTTGAAGAGTTAAGGAGTCAATTTCTAAAAAATGGATAAATCTTTTTCATTTTTTAGTAAACCTAATTGCAAATTTAGAAACGTTTTCAGAAATTTTATCCGATGACTAGAGGAGTCTAGGATAGACGGAATAAGCGTAAATTGGTCTATTTTGGTAGGAAACACCAATGGGATCGGATCCTCTTAAAATGCATGCATTTTTGTTGTTTTGAAAAGTGATGACAAACATACAAAACAATACGTCATTTATTATTCCATTTCGAATCTAAAAAAATAGTTTACAGAAGCAAAATACTGTATTTCTATTGTATCTACCTATCTATCTTATGTAAATATTAAAATTTAAATATATACCTACTATATATTGTAATCGAATATTTTATCATAAAACATAAATTAGATAGAAAGTAAAAAAAAAAACAGTAAATTATCTCGACATTTGAATTTTACTGATAATATAATATTTTATTAATATAGTTATAATAAAGTCACGATCTCGAACCTCGACTACAATATTCAATAACAATAGACAACCTATGCACCGAGCCAATGTGTTGGTGTACATGCGGTACCGCGGTATGATGCGTCGACGTATGTGCCAGGCGGCAGGCAATAAAGGCCCTTACACACTAGGTGAGTAGTTCGCGCGCGGATGCGATTTTAAATCGCCGCGAATGTTCGCCTAAAATTAAGCATGTGCGATCGATGGCGGATTTTATTCGCTCTTATTACATAGTGTGAATGGTCTAATTTAATACAAGTTGTTTAATTTTAAGCGAACGTTCGCGGCGATTAAAAATCGCGTCTGCGCGCAAACTATTCGCCTGGTGTGAATGGGCCTTAAGTCGATCGGTTGGACTGCGAGAGTGATAATAGTATGGTGATAAAGCACAAGTCGACACTTGTCAACGCAACGTAATCTATCGCTGCGCGATCGCAATAATAATAATAATCAATAACCATGATAAGCATGATAATAATTAATATTTTAATAACACAAATACGTATGTAATATTATTAATAATAATTTTAGTAGTAATTAATGATCCGCATTCCGCAGTCTGCGCGCCTATCATTAACTGGATAACTACGAGTCAATTTATTGGGTACAGTTATCGCCGCATTGAGTAAAAGTGATATTGAGTTTTCACGACGTATACTGAATGAAAAAGGCTTGAAAACCGCTAAACCGACAACCACACAACATCATTGTTCAGTTTATTTTGCATTTGAACCTTCATTCCGAAGTTCGCGATGACGACAGATCACGAAGATTCTGATGGCAATTCATCTGATTCCAGTTACTCGAAGGTGGACTTTTACGAAGGTTAGTATATCTGTACCATATGGAATTGGTTTTTTTCTATTCTACTAATGGTAAGAGCTATTGTTAAGTTTTGCTAGGTCAAAGCAGTCAGGGATTATGCTACTTAACTATGTATCCTTTTCCAATTGTTTACCTACTAGTTATCACTTTGATATTTCGTATAAATTTTATCTACATACGTTTTAGTTTCCGTTTTAACTGTTACACTCTTGCAGTATTTAAATACAATAGTTAAAACTGTTAAATATTATACTTATCAAACATTTGGTTTACATTTGTTTTGTATTATTAAACAAATTAGTACCTATGTAAATATCTAAAAGTGTGTAAGAAATTTTAAAATTGATGAGATTGAGTATAAAATAATGTTTGAATACTTTTTTATATCTGTATTTAAATAAATACTATGAACCCTATAAGTAATGATTTAATATTTTAATGTATAGTATTGATACAAAAACACAATATGATTATAATACCGTTATTTTATCATGAAGTTCAGGCTTATACATAAAAAATCTCAGTTTTTTTTCTACTGTTCTTTGTGATAAAATTATTTATTACAAAATAAATGTTCACATTTAATTTATATGCTATTGCATACCTATGTTTAATATAACACTTAGTATGAATCATATTATTTACCCTGATTGATATTCATGCTTGTCTACTTATTGTATAATTAGTGTACCTCTGTTTAAATAATTAAAATATAACAAACATTTACAGTGGATTCTACTCAATATGGGAACATTGGGACCAGCCCTGTTTGCCTACATTAAGCAAAGCAATAGCCCATAAAAACCAAAATTAGTTTAAAAAAAAAAAAAAATTATGATATTGAAAAAAGTTTTCATTTTGCACACATGAATTATGCAATTGAAAAAAATGTTAAATTACTACATAAATAAAACTAAATAAAATTACTTTTTGGATATGGAAGGTATACAAAAATTGTAATTTCTTGTTGTCTAAGCTGTTAAGTGTGGATCTGGTTTACAAAAGTAGCACATACTTCAAGCTTATCAGATGGACTACCCTCGTTACCCTCTTGTGTATATTCTAACGCTATGATAAAATAAAAATTGTCCACATAAACTAAACTAAGTGGTCATATTATGTGATTCTTTTTAACCTTATTAGTATGCATTGGAATTTGGACTAGACCATTTTACGCGGATGTCCATATTAACCGGTGCCCACATAAGGCGGAATCTACTGTACTAAACCAACTTAAAGTAGGCTTTAGGTAAATTAATAGTAATAATTTTAATGATATTTTATTAATAATTAATAGTATTTGCCATGTTGATTAAAAAAAAAAAAAAATAGTGTTCTGTTATTTGGTGCTAATTATTAATTTTTTTTTTTATTTTATTGCCTATATATTTTATCAATAGCAAATAATATATTTAATATTATTTTAAAATATTATTTGCTTTGTTCAAAATAGTAGGCATTTGTAGTGTTTTTTTTAAATAAATATAATTCTTAGTCATTATATGTTACTAGCAAACCAAATTCAAATTTAAATGATTACATTAGAATTGTGTAATTACATAGCATTTTTATAATTTTTTAAAAGTTTTAACTCAGTTATTAAATTTTTCTCTGAAACCTTGGAAAATGTAGATAATATTTTTGTAGTATTTTCAGATAAATTCATAGTTAACATACATGCCATAGCATCAACCCAATCAAATATATCTTGCTTAAATTTTAAATTAATCCCATTAAGTAGTTTGTCAAATAATAAATGAAATACTGTAATTTTTAATTCATTAAATTTTGTGTTAAAAATAGTTTTATTTGATAAATTAAAGTCTAAATGAATTGAAACTTTATAAGAATTAGTAGCTGGAATATCAATATCATGTTTCTTATATAATATAACCAAACTTTTAAATATTTATTTATACTTGCTGTCATCATTTCTCATGCTAATTAATGTATTTTTCAAACAATTTAAATTTTAAATTAACATTAAAATTGGATTTATCATATGCGTATTAAAAATGAAATCAAAGGTTTCTATTGATATAATAGACCAATTCCTTTAGCTTTTCATTAAGTTTTCAATTTATTGTAATAATCAATACTCCATAATTATTCATAATTGCTTTCACAGCTTCTGCTCAACAAGCCCATCTTGTATTTGAATATGACTTCAATGCATAGGCGTAACTAGGGGAGGAGGGGCTTGGGTGAGCTTCAGCCCCCCCCAGAATTTTTTAAAGCCACTTCGGCCTTCAGAATTTTTTAAGTAAATGCATATGCCTATAAACATATTAGTATTAATTTTATTTTTATTCACAATGTAAAAAAATATAATGTTTCATATAAATGAATTATTATCTAATAAAAATAAAAATAATATTAAATTCTATGTTTATTAGTTGTCATTGTTATTTATTATATTATCGGTTTAACATTCGATATATAATTTGTTCACTTATATTTTTATCAATAACACTATATAAGACATAAAACATATATTTATGATTTATTTTTAAAACATTGAATTTACATTATTCATTTAAATCTGTTTATAAACATGCATTATTGAGTGGACGCGTGAAGAGATATTTATTTTAGACTATACCCATGATAATAAGATATAAATACACGATAATGTAGGCATTGTATTTATAATTATATAATTTATAAAGCTATAAAAATCCCGGAGAAACAATTTGTGTATATTTTATAACGAATAGTAGTCACTAGTCAGTATTGGTGTTATTGAAGTAAAAAAACGTTATTTTAATCCAGAGGTCGAAGACTCAGAATTGATAATTTCTTACTTAAAAGCACCTAATTAAATATAATAATGGATTCTTTTAAGAAAAATGTATTTAGTATTTTTAACATAAAAAAAACTTCTAATACTTATAACAATGTTACATTGAGTGATACAGAAGATGATCCTAGCTTACTCAATTATAATTGTTGTAATGATATATCTAAAATACAAAAAAAAGATGATATTTGTGTTAATGTTGAATTGGATAACTTAAGAGATATTATTTCGGGTCTATGCCAGCCCATTTTAAAGGTAATATTATTAAAATATTATTAGGTATTATTATTATGATAAAATAAAATAAGTAATTAAATAATTTATACATGATTATTAATTATTGTAATAATTTTTCAAATATTTTAAGGATTATTCAAAAACCTTATTTGGTAAACAAAATAGATTATTTTCATCAATTTTTTTTAAGCTATATACATTATATATGGTTGGAATATAGTGTCAAACAAGATGCTGTATTTTGCTTTTACTGTTGATTATTTGGAAAAAACAATGATGATGTGTTCACAAAATTAGGATTTAAAAACTGGAAAAAAGTTTGTAAAAGCATTTATATTAAGAAATTTAGTGAGCTTAGAAAAGGGACAAGTTGCCAAGTAATTTACTGAGTAATATAATATATTACATATTAAATTTAATGAAAAAATTTTGTTTAAAAGCATCTGCTTAATAAATAATAGTTACAAACTCTTACACATTATAATAGATTAATATCAATATTATTTAAACATTTTATTATAATTTATAGATTAGTAGTTCTAACAGTAAACAATCCAAGTTTGCTAGTCATGCACAAGTAAAGAGCATCTTACTAATTTATCAAAAATGACCGGATATTATTCAACTAAAAGTACAAGAAGTGTAGTTAAACAGCTATCAACTGCCCACAAACAAAATGTTCTAAATAATCATTTGTACATGAAGAAGTTAATCGATATTATATTACTATTATCTCGTCAAGGAATTGCATTTTGAGGCCATATAGAAAATACAAATTCCTTAAACAAAGGTTATGTGTAATCTGCTTGATCAATTAATTATGATTAGAAGTAGGATTTATTTTCTCTTAAAATCCTTAAAATATGATATTTTTTTAATATATTCTTTTAATATTCTTTTAAAATACCCAATAAACAATGTTTCATGTCCTTAAAAATGTAAAAAATTCATTATTTATTAACTGAGCCCTCCCCCCCTAACTTAAAGGACTAGTTATGCCTATGCTTCAATGTATGGAGTTAATCATCAGTTCTTTTGCAACTTTTTCCAGTGTTGCATGTTGCATTGGATTACTTTTTATGAAGTTATATATAAATTGACATTTAATTGATTGTAAAATAATATAAATAGACAATATTAAATCATTTTGTATCCGATTACTTGTGTACAGCGCATGTTTTGTACCTTCTGTCAGATGTTTTTTTTCTAAAACTGTATCATATTTTGATATTTAATTAATCAATTCTTTAAAAAGACCTTGATTTACATTCTGTGATTTTTCATCATGCCCGCGGAAAAGTCTACCTCCTTTGACTAAAAAAATTATGATGTCAATTAAACGATTCATAGTTTGTCTATTATTTTGGCATTCTATTTCTTTCTGACTAGTTTGATATGCATGTAGTTCATCTATTTTAGAAGAAATAGGTATATTGTGTAGATAGCTATGCAAAGCTGTAGAACTATTCAAATGATACTTTGATGTTTAATGTTTTTTAAATGCCTTACCAGCTTTGTACTACTCTTTACTTTTTTTCAAAAAAAGTAATATCAATTTAACCACAGTTTTTTTTTTTTATTACCTTTAAACATTCTGTAAGGAAAGCAGAAGGCTGCAGCTGTAGGACTATATTCTAGCCAATCATACTGTTTATACCACTTTTATGAAATGATCTAAATTTATGACCTAGAAGTTTTCGTGGATATACATTTAAAAATTGGTTTATAACCACCTTTTGAAATTATCTTTTTAATCAATATATGTCATCGACAGTAGATGGATTCGTTCATATATATCAATAGAATTAACTGAAAAATAAAAACTTAAATTAATAATGACTAATAATAATTGTAATAAAAGAAAATAAGAATAAATATAGGTACAATAAGTATAATTATACTTAGACGTACCTAAAATTATGCATTCAGGTAAAATTCTCTCATTGTACCAGTTGAACTATTATTATAAATACAATTTTTATTATTTTATTATTATTTACATATTCACCTACCCTATTGGCTATTTTATTGATTAGTATTTTAATAATCTATATAATGATATGTGAAGGCAACTGGTTACCACCCTTTAATTTATATCTTTATGTACCTGTAACTTGAGCTTCAGATGAAGACAATGAAGTGATAACTTTTAAATTTGTCTTTTTTTCTTGGCTCGTAATTTTATATTCATCATTTATTTAATTTCCTTGGTTATGCTTCTTAAAAAAAAATACAAAATTAGGTAATATGTATATAAGAGTTGAGCATTTAAGAGGACATAGTACCCACGTGTGTTGTTAGTTGTAAGTTTACATTTTAAAATGATCATAACTTACTAAAAAATAATAATATCAATAAAAAGCTACATAGGGCCCTATATAATAATCTTACCTTTAAATTTTGATAGGTCAATTTACTTTAATATCAAAACTAACAGCACACTAATGAATGAAAATTTGACATGTAATATACATGTAAGACTGAGACAATACATGTGAATACTACGTCCTTTTAATATTTTTATTTTAATTTAGTAGCAAAGTTATGTGTACCACAGTCTACAAGCTATAAGAAAATAAATAGTCTGTGTATTGTCATACTTACCAAGACTAAATTTGATACAGGAGCAGGATCATCAATATTTTGTTTATTAATTTTATTTACTTATATAAAAGTTTTGAATATTTTGACACGATTTTGCTACTACATTCAACTTTTTTTTTTCGCACTCTTTAGCAACTCCTCCTTTAAAAGTTGTACTTTTGATAACATTCATCGTTCAATTGTAACAATAAAATTATTATATTCTTATTTAATCTTCAAAAAAATAATATGCTCTCTGAACCTGTTTGTGTGTAGTCCAAATGATGTAAAACATATTTTAACTTATTGAAATATATAATATAAGCAATTAGAGAATTAAAATTGTATTAATAAAAACAATTGTATTAATAGTTTAATGCAATTATAACTTACAGTTATGAACGAAGTGCCTGAGAACTATAAAAGCAAAGTAGATGAACTGAACAGAATATTACAAAGTAAAAACCAAGATATAAATCGTCTACGAGACTTGGCTATTAGTGATGGTGGATTGGTGATAAGTAAGTAAATACTTAATTAATTTTTAATATCCAGAGAAAAGTTTAGACTATACCTGATAGTTGTCTTCGTCTTCAAGTATGTAACATGGTAAATCTATTCTCACAACCCACATTTTTTTTTTTTGTTAGGTTTGATATTTAAGTGAATCGATCTTTTATGAAACTTAATGGTAAGAACTTAATATGTGTTTTATGTGAGATTTTTACTATAATTCAAGTTTTTTTACAGAGTTTTGTAATTACTAAATATTGTAAGTCCTTATCGTTAATTAAATTATTGATCTATTCCCTCTAATATTAAAACTAGTGAAACTAAACATGAAATGCTGAGCATGATTTAGCATGTTCCACATTTATAAGACAGAGACAATAAATCAAACTTATTGCCTTCTTAAGGAGTTTAATTAAAATAAGCAATAATATTATCATAATATTAAAAATAATTTTAATGCATTTTTAAAATTATTTAAAAATGAACCTGCGAAAGAACTATTATAAGATATTATTGATAACTAAAAATTAGGTACTAAAAAATATCAAAAATATTATAACGTATTAATTATTATAAAAAAGAATCTTGCACTTATAAAAAAACAAATTAGTTTAATGATAGAGAATTTTTATTATCTACACAAATACTTATCTTTATTTAAGAAAAAAAAAATAATAAAATAATAATAATAAAACTACTTTTTCAAAATGCTGATCTATCTCGCACTAAAATGCGATCTACAACTAATGGATAATATTTTTCTTATGTTATTAGAAAATGCATTATCTACTAATTTACTGTAAAAAAATTGAAATATTTAATAAAACTTATTTGCTAGTTTAATTTTTTTTTTTTATTGTGAACTAAACATAATTTATTTTATTATAATATATTCTATCTTAATAATAAATATTTTCACAACATAATTAGATGTCAAATATATGACATTGTGATCATTGATACATTATAAAATTAAAAGATTTCGTTAAACACGTTTCAACAAATAGTTTTTTTTTTTTTCCAGAATATATATTTTTATTAATGATTTCAGTAAAAATTAATTTTTTTAATGTGGTTTATTATGGATCATTCTGGCTTACAGTTTAACAAGCTTTGTATACTGTATAATATTTTTAAACATTGTATTCTAATATTTATTTATTAAATAACATTAAATGTATACATTTTATAGATAATTATAAATTAAAAATAAAATTTTTATTTAAAATAACAGGTTTAGTACGTCTTGAAGCGTGGAAGCTGTTATTAAACTTACCGAACAATGATGAACAATTATATCCATTGGAAATTATTAAGGACCATCCTGAATATCATCAAGTTGATATGGATGTAAGGAGATGTTTAAAGAGATTTCCGCCTGGTATTTCATATGAGAAAATTGGTATATTGCAAAAAGAATTAATAGCAATTATACTAAGTGTAATTAAAGAATATCCAGATTTGAAATACTACCAAGTAATTAATTCAACCTAATAATCAGCATTTAAAACGTTTAGTATTAATTAATTAATATTTAATATTGCATGTTTTAATATATTATAAATTAATTTAAAATTCAGCTTTGCATTCTTAATTATGCCTGTTTTCAATTTTAATATTTGTTGGTTATACTATTAAAGATTTTTTATTTTATTATTGATGCTGAATTGCTGCCTATTATGTGATATGTATTAATATATTGTGATTTAATATTTTATAAGTATAATGTAGTATTATTTTTAATACATTTTAGATAGTTTAATAGTAAATAGTAAATTTAATTTTTATTTTTTCAGCTCATATTTCTTTTCTTTTTTTTTCTATAATAAAAAAATGTAAACAGTTTATTATTTATGTTCAATTAAATTTCTAATTTTTTAATACTGAAATAATTCAATTTTATTTATTATGTTTATGTATTACAAAGTTTATTTTTATTAAGTATATTTGTTATGATATTATATTTTTTTATTATTACTTCAGGGTTATCATGATGTTGCCGTTACTTTTCTTATAGAAGTTGGACAAAAAGAAGCATATAGTATAATGAAACATCTATCATTGCATCATCTAAAGGAATTTCTAAAGCCAACTATGGAGGAAACGTCATATTTATTGTTACACGTTTTTCCGTTGATTAAAAAGCTTGATCCAGAGTTAGAAAATTTTATTGAAAAGTTAGAATTAATCCAATTATTTTTAATATTAATTTTAATAAAATTTACTTAGTTTATTTTTAATATCATTCATAATTATGCTTTTAGGTCTGGTATTGGTACAATATTTGCTCTTCCATGGTTGATATCATGGTTTAGCCATAGCTTAGACCAACACTCAAAAGTAGTAAGATTATTTGATTTCTTTCTAGCATCACCAAAAGAAATCATCTTATATGTTATAGCCCAGTTAATAAATGCCAGACGTGATGAAATCTTAAATACTGAGTGTGACATGGCTTGTGTCCATATGGTCTTATCAAAGGTATTTAATAAATTACATTTCTCATGCACTTATTTAATTTATACATTTTTATATAACAGATTCCAGAAAGCCTAAATTTTGAAATAATATTGGATAAAGCTACAAAAATGTACAAAGAATATGATCTTTCAAACGTCAAACATGAAGTTGACAAAAGAGTAAAACTAGAGTAAGAAATTAATCTTATGTTCATTAATTTTACATGATAAATTTTAAAAAAAAATTTCATAAAAATTTTTATTTGCATATAAAAGTTATTTTAATTATTTTAGAGCTAAGTTATTAAATGATCAACGAGAAGAAAACGCAAAGCGAAAAAAAGACAAAAAATTTGCAGATCAAGAACAGCCAGTATTTAACAAAGCTTTTCGCTATGTACCCATATGGATCAGACCTAGAATGAGATTTGGCCTATTATTCTTTGGATTTAGTTTAGCTGCCGGACTATGGGCTGTTTTTAAATCTAATAATAATTAAATATTAAAAATTGCTTCTTATATTCCAATTATTATTTGTGCTATACACAGGGACCAAATAGACTGATATCATAAAATATTATATTGATGTATTTATATTTATTTGTTTTACTTTTTGATATTGGAGTATTTAAATTAATTACAATTATATTACACATTCTTATTTATTTAGTTAACATTGTTTAATTTAGCCAAATAGTTATATTTTTTAAACAATAAAATTATATTGTACTATTTTTTAGTTATAAAATGTGATTATGAATATTAATTGTTTTTAAAAATCTATTATTGATGACATTTTTTAAAATTTTATGAATCTAATTATAATTGTTTATTATTGTTAAATACTTATCTTACCTACATCATAATAAGTTTTTATCAATAAAATTTGTTTTTTTGTTTCGATTTATTTTTATTTTGTAATAGTTTGTGTCTTCTTAAAATGTTTCATAATTATTTAAAATATCCTTGATAAGGACATAAATAAATAACATTGATGCTCAATTAGGTAATATGGTATCATACTTCAATTAAATGTTTTATTAATATACTGAAGTTTCTATATTTAAAATAAATCTAAGAAGTTATTAAAAAAAATATGTCTTGTATGCTTTATTATAAAGATATATTTAATTAGATATTCATGTATATTAGTAAAATATTGTGCACGTATTGTTATAACTAAAAAAATTCATTAAATTGATTCTGTAACAGTCATAACTTTTTTGAATTAGTTTTGTAATCTGTACTCTTGAATTTGCATTTATCTTAATGTATTTTAACAATAAATAACCAGTGGTACTAAAGAATATTTATATTAATAATCCATTGTTAAAAATCAATACTAATTTAGCAATAATCAATATATTCACTAGTTCTTGATACTAAATATCTGATTGTACTTATCCCTTAAATACATTTAATGGACAGTTTAATTTTATTTTCTACCACTTTGCTGGAAACCAACTTTATAGAGATGAAGAAAATGATTATGATGTTGCAAATTTATGATATAAGATATACATTTAAGGAAGAAAAACATTAATTTAATTAAATCTAAACATTTGGAATTACGGCTATATTTTAAACAAATAGCATTACTTGTGAAACAAACACAAGGTAAATTATAATTACCTTACAACATTAAGTTCATTTCGAAAGAAAATGTATTTAGGTTAGTAACTACTTGACTATCTCAATATGTGTACTTTTAAATGCTAAATGAACTGCTAGGTTCTAATCTTGGCAGACGATAATTCATAAGGAGACAATAGTGGCTATTGGCTGGTAAAATAATTTAGCATTAAAAGTATTTTGTAAAAGTAAACAAAATTTACTAGTAGCAAAGGAATTTAATTTCCCAAATTTTTATCATAGAGAAGGATGTAAATTATAAGTCGTATTATGTGTGATAAGTGTAATTTATTTTTGTGTTAATAAAAATAATAATTGTTTTATAATTTTCTTTAAATATTGAGCTTATTTAAATAATTGTTTGATTTTTAATTATCAAAAAAGTAAATGTACTTTATTCATCAAATACAATACTGTAGTAAAAGAGTTATGATATATATTTTTTTAATAATCATATAAGAAGAATATTAATTATAGTATATTGTATTATTTTATTAATTTAATAAAAAAATGTAATAATTTGATTTTAATAAATATTTATCATGATTTATTTTTTTTTGGAACAATATTTGTGGCACAGAAAACCATTGATAATTATAACCAAATTGTATACAAATATTTTTTGTCTTATTGTTAACATGGTCTCGATAAAATGTAAAATAATTGGTTTGGATTATAGAAAAATGTTCAGGCGGTTTGTAGATTTTATTGCATGTCCTATTTTGTACACATTAATTATCTGTCATTATTTTTAAATATTTTCTTCAAATTTAAGAGGTTAATGTATAACAATAGTATTTTAAAAATTATGATTTTTCTGATAAGATTCTTAGTTTATAGATGTAAAGGGCAAACAAATTAAAGTCATTAAAGGTGGATATCATTTATATTTGTTGATTACAGGTTACTAATTATTATATCAATATTAATAACCCCTTCATTATAAAATATTTTGAGTTATTTATTATTTTAAGGTTAGGTTAGACAAAAGTGTCTAAAACAAAAAGGATAGTAAAAATTCAGTAGTATTATATCTTGACTAGCACAAATACCATCAAGAATTATGCATAATTGTATAATATAAATAGTATAAAAACAATGAGATATGAAATATAAACCCATACATTTAAAAAAAAAAAATCCTAAAACAAGTGTTAATTAACAAGAGCCTAATTATAATTTATTTATTTTAAAATTCTTTCGGAGAATTATGTATAAATTGTTAACAGTATAGAAACCAATATTAGTTAAAAATTATAAATTGTAAACTGTATACTTTTAATAAAAATTATCTTACATTTATTGAAAAAATATCATGTAGGATTTAAACATTTTAAACCATGCAATTGTTTTCATTGTTTGTGTTTATAACAAAGAAAAAAAGAAAAGAACCTGATCAGTTTAAAATGCATATTTATAACTTATACAAAATTCATACTATATTTTTAATACTAAACACTAAACCGTGTTTCTCTTAATTTTTAGCTTTGTTAAGGAAAATCAAAATTTTTATTGGACCTATAATTGTAGATTCTGATTAAACAATTTGAACAGTTTAACAATAAATTAAATCTTTTATTTTATTAAAATAAAATTATACGGTTGTGTTACTTATTACCTTTATTCTAATTTTAATAATAAAAAGCTGATTGGTACCATAAGTATTGAGTAGGTTACTGTAATAGATGTATTTAGTGACACCAACATCATCTGAAATACTTGTAATTTCTCTCTCTCCAACCCACTAGACGGCTATTTTATTACAACATTTTTAGATAATATAATCTTTTTTATCTTCAACTTCCTTTTTACAACTAATTAAAAACAATTTTTTCGAATTTCTCTTGAGATATATTTATGCCCACCTATCCTTTTCAATTACCTATAACATTTGTCTCGGTTAAACCATGGGAATGGTGACACTAGAAATAAATTTGAATTAAATTATAAATCATTGAACAATTTGTACACAAAAAATGATTTTGGGCGGTTTATATTGTGGTTTTTTGATATCGATATTAGATAAAATAATATACTTTACTCTCCCAAGCTTTTATATTAAACCATGAAGAATAGCCTGTATGCCATCAATGCATAATACCGTTGTCAATAGAACACATCATACTCCACTGCCCGAAGTACCAAAAAAAACGATATATCCTACACCATACCACCAACATGAAAGAAACACTAGATGAAGCCAATACTGATGCAATATTCAATTTTTTCAACTCCATCAACCTCTCAAATTTATAGTAAATAATTATATAACACTGCATTGTAAATATTATTCATGTATCTATTTTCATATTCATTAACTATACTTAATATATTTTAAAAATTACAGGCTAATGACCTTAGGTGTCGAAGCCTTTATTCTAATAAAAAAAATTTAAAAAAATATACTTTACTATTAGTAAATTGAATTAAATTTTGCCAAAAACATTAGATATGAAAATATGTATATGAAATATAATAAATTTTATCACTCATCATCAAAATGTATAATTTTGTCCGAGTTTGAACATGATATGTCTACAAGAATAAATTATATTTTAATTAAATATTTTTTGATTTAAGTATGAATTATATATAAGAAGTTTTGTATTACAATTTCAAACTTTAGTTATGATAATTGCACATTTTATAAATTTTTAACTGTGAAATAATTTTAAATCTTTAAAAAAACATTAAAAAAAATTATCTTTTAAATGCTTGACATTCTATCAAAAATCATTACAAAGGATAGTATCGACTTAATTTTATTTGAACCCGATGACATAAAAGCAAAAATTTTATTGATATGTTATAAAAAAAATCTCTAATTTTATGTTTTTTATCATTGATTTTATTATTGGTGGGTAAGGATTTTTATTTCTGTTATGTTTTTTTTTATTTTACCTACTTATACATTACATCTTATTTAATATTTACAATTTAAAATATAAAATAACCTACATAAAATAATAAGAAAAACATTATTTTCACAATTGTATTTACATTTTATATTATTTACCTACTCTATCATAATTTATTAGTTTTAAATTTTTTTTAATCAATTACTTTCGTTAATTAAAATTAAAATATTTAAAAATAATTTTACACTTATATTTCTATTTATTTAAAATCTAATTAGAATTAAGTCATATAAGGTAGAATAAACAGCATTATTCTGTGATTGGTTAAATAAATATTTGTATAGCATATGATAATGTTCTCATAGTGAATAATGAATAATATATATTATAGCAGTGATGAGTAGTAACATAATATAATTAACTTAATATTAATAATAAGTCATTTTATTTATAACACTACATAATTTTGTCGGAATAAAATTGATTTCATGAAATAAAAACGTAACATAATATGTATGCATATTTTTTAATATTTTTCTTAGTAATTTATAATTTCATTATTTAATTAATTCAAAGTTATGTTTATGTTATTTTATTATTAGCTTTAAATAAGAATAAAAATAAAAATAATTAAATTAAATTACAAGGACCTTATCTTATTTTCATTAAAAAAAAATATATATAATAGATGTAAAAGCTTAAGTTTACAATAGAATTTCAAAAAATTGTTTATATTATGACACTTCTACAGAAACAATACAGCGAAACTTCAGACATGTAGTTTCTAGTCGTGGGGAGTTTGTTTCTCCAAAATTATTTAAGTCAATAAAATATTTATTAGGCACAACATCACGAAGAAACTCGCAAATACTATAAGATGGAAATGGATCATTTGTCTTTTGAAGAACTACTCCCACCCAGGTCCATTTAATAAAAGTCCAAGACAAATAGATATCATAATATGTATTTTGTTCGAGTATTGATTCATACGATTTTTTATAATAGTTTAAAAAAATATGATTTATAAATTTTGTTATAAACATATTATATTTTTATTCATTCATTTGAGGTTCGCTGGGTGTTTATAATATTTTGATACAGTTATATTTTAATTTGTGATATTAATTATAACTAATAAACTTTGTTCTATGTTATTTTGTATTAAACAAAATATTAAAACATTATATTTTCAGAGTATTTATTTAAATTACTAGCTATAAAAATAAAAAACAATAAATAATGAATAATTTAATGATTTTAGAGTTATAATAGATTTAATAAACTTGAAATATGGTGAACAATTTACAAAAAATAAAGTGGTTTCAAAGTATTTTAAGGTCTTTCATAAAAATTTTTATTGTTACAGATTTTCTTAAATAACTATTTAAATGAACACATCAACTATCATTAAATTATTATATTAAACATCCTAAATAATGACTTAAGTTAAAGATAATTAGGTATCTATAGTTTTTCCATGAGCTGTGCAATGTAATCCATTACTCGTTCATCCCTCAAGATTGTCATATGGTCAGCATTTGGGAATACTTGATGAAAAACTTTTTGTTTTTGCATACTTGACCAATAATTGCAACCTTCAAGACTTCTAGAATTAACTGTGCCGTCACCATTACCATATTGTAATTTAGGATACTTGAGTGGAAATTTACCTGGTCCAAATATCATTCTAAAATGTAACAAATAAATGTTAAAAAAAAAATAAAAATTATCGATAATAGCACAAACAAACTTTTCAACTGTTGGAATTGTATCACCGTGTAAACAATGGACTTCTACACCGGGTGGTCCAAAGTCCATGTACTGTTTAACGTCCAAGTACATATTATAGCCAGTCATGTAGTTTATGCCTCTGTAATAATCACAAATATTAAGATAAAATTATTATTATTGCTACATGAATATACTTACTCAAAAAATGATTTATAGTCTGCCACTGTGAAATTTTTTGTATCAGTTTCTACTAATACTTCATCTGATTTCCAAAAATATGGGGATGGTAGAAGCCATGCTAAGCTAGGCGATGTAATTTGTTCAGCTTTTAGAACACTACCACTAAGAACATAAACACCTAGATCATCACCTAAAAATAAATAATACATTTAGACATTAAAATATGTTAGTGTACTTTTTTCTTGTTTTCTTCTTATATCTTTCAACATACCTACAGTAAACACTTTTAGTGCTTTAACGGCTCCTCCCCAAGCGCCAGCTAATGAAACCATTGCTCTGACGTGTTGATCTTTCCACTCTTGTGTTTGAGCTCGCAAAAATTTTAATGTCATACATCCTCCCATGCTATGTACAATGAATACAACTGGTGTATTATTATTTTTTTGGTATGTTTCTTCAGTTAGTATCTTCAGTTTTACAAAAAACTCTGTATTTTCATCTGAAAAAAAAAAAGAAATAATTGTATTAATATGATAAGAAAAATTGTTTCATTTTTAATGCTTACTAGGTGCTTTTCTAAAATCATAAGGCGCTCCTCGAATAGAAACATCTCGTTCGAGACCAGTGCCAACTAATGTATCACCAACACTCTTAAAGTATGCACCAAATGTAGATAAACTAGGGTCAATATATTCCACAGCAGAAGAATTTCCCCATCCAGGTACTCTTATGTCTACACCTGGAGGACTGTGAGTAGTATGGGTAACATTGTCATATATCAGTCTCATATTATCTATCTAATTATTAAACCAAGTTTATGAGTTATTAACTTAATATATCTAAATACAATATTTTACTTACCAAGCAGTCTATCACATATGGTACTAACAATTCGAGATTTAACCAAATGTTAGAGTAATCATTTGTTTTTTTATCACATAAGTAATGAACGACATTGGGTTTGTTCAATTTAGCATCAATGCGGCTACCACCATCACCTGGAACTAAAAATAAAAAAGATGATTATTTTAATTTAAATAACATAATTTTGATTACATTGCTACACAAATTTTCGCCCTTAGGATCTTTTAGCTAATGGTTGATGTCATAAAGTATCAATTATATTTTTGAAATAAACTATATATTATTTTAAATGTGAAACTAAAAAATTAATTGATTATTTAATAGTGGTTTAATAGATTTTTTTAAATATTTAATAATACATTGTTTGAAAGTATGATTATAAAAAAATGATTTCTATTTATTTTATTAGAAGCTTTTATGATACATATTTATTAGAATGAAAACTACAAAATAATGTATACAGCAATGTAATTAGGCAACTCTCAAGTTTTAACAATAATTATTATAACAATTTGGAAAGTTATTATTATGTTTGAATAGATATTCAATAGTAATACACAAACAAATGGATATGTTAAATTTAACTAATTATCAACTTTAAAAAAATTCTGTTCATATTTATATTATAGCTAGAGTACAAATAAAGTTATTTTAAGAAATAACTAGATAATTTATGAATCATATAATTACCTACACATAGATTTTCATCTAAGTATAGAATACATTCAATTATAAAATAAAAACATAATAAAAATAAATACATTTGATACTGAGTTAAACATATATTTTTTGTTGAAATAATTATAATTATAAATTATTTATTTGTGCACGTGGAGATATTGTTAGATTTAGAAGAGCTTAAACTTGTTTTTTTTATAAACATCTTTTTGTTTCAAATTTGTGTTGCAAGTTCACTTAAAAAATTCAGTTTTAAGTGATTGAGTAATTGCAGAAGATTTAAATGTTACATTTGGAACAGCTTCTATTTTTATTATTATATTTCTGAACATATATTGAACTGAATGAGATTTGAGTGTTTCTAACACCTCTGTAATATATCATGTAAGACAAGTACAAAATCAATAAAATAAAAGTATTTATATTTTTTAAATTTATTTTACCATTAAAATAACAATATCGTATAATTTAATATATTAATGATATAGGAAATAAAAATGTATAAAATAAAAACTAGTTAAAGTACTAATCTTGTAAATTACTATATAGTTATTTCATGAATTACTTAGTCACTTCATAAACAATCTAGTTCTTCAATACTCTAATTATATTATGAGGGTTATCTCAAAATCAACCTATGAAGAGAAATATATACATAAAAACAATAATTATTTGCATAAAATAGTTTCTCCTTAAAAAACAGCACTGCCAGCGTATTGAAGCATTGATTTACTTCATTTATAAGTTCCTTATTACTTCCAAAACGTTTAGATGCAATAGATGATTTCATTTTTTGAAAAAGGTGAAAATTATTTGGTGCCCAATCTAGATTGTAGAGGGGGGGATGATTAAAAGTATCACAATTGAACTCTTCGACTAAAGATTTTGTATGTGCAGCAATGTGTTATCATACAGAAGTACCACATCTTTGATAAGCATTCCTCGTCTTTTGTTTTGAATTAATCTTCTCAATTTACGTAGAGTTTCAGAGTAAACCACTATATTTATTATGGCTCCAGGTTTCATAAAATCAGTCAATAATACATTACTGTCTCAAAAAACTGAGGCCATTATTTCTCCCTTGGCTCCCTTTACTATACACATTCTTATTAAGTTATTTACACCAATTATGTACCAAACTATAATTCATCACCAAATTGCAGTAAACAGCACATAACCGATAATGAATTTGAGTTGCCCTTTTTCATTTGTCTTACAAAAAAATAATTACACTTCACTCCTCACAGGTGGTGGAAGATAGAATTGTATTCTTCATGTTGTTACAGTAACTATTAGAATACTTTTGAATAAAAATGATCAAAACTTACCATATTATAAGAGAACTGATTGCGATATGCAGAAACATGTGATTAAAGTGCCCATATTTAGTGAATTGTAACACATTGGAAGTTGATTTTGAGATAGCTCTCGTATATAAACATAAATATAACAGTTAATAAAATTAATTTAAAATATTCATTATGTATGAATAAATATTAAAATATTTTTAACTTATTTATCATATAAGTTTATTGTTATCATGGGAATTTTTTTTTATTCTAAATAATAATAGTAGCTAAACAAAATGATGTGCTAATATAATATTTTTATCAAATATATTATTTTAAATTGATTAAATCACTAAACTTTAGATATATAATAGACAAAAGATGTAAACTAAAGTTTTGAGAAAAATTGTTTTTATAAAATTTAATACTCATGATTTTAATTACCTATGTAATTTTGAAAATTCTTTAAATTATATATATATATATATATAGTATAAATTGAAAAATTATGAAAAAAAATTCAAAAATAATAATAATAATAATAATAATTGATATCATGTAGATAATAAGGAATGAATGTTCAATACATTAATCATGTAACATTTATGAGAAAAGTGATATGAATACTTAACCTTGATATTTAACTATTAAACATGTTCCCATATAATGATTAAATTTAAAATTATTTTTAAAGCTAATACTAAAATATCCATTATTTGATAGTTATAAACATTTTAATTTTATTATATTTGGTTAATAATGTTTTAAATAATGATATATCCATTAATCAATATTTTCTATCATATATTTAATAATATATAGTGTTACAGTGATTAACTTATTTAGATTGATCGCATAATTAATCTGGCTATAGTTGGTTTATAGGTAAGTGGTTAAAATAATCTTATTAAACCACACGTTAAATAAATATATATAATTTAATAACCAATACCTAAAAGGTTATAGTAAATAGAGAAAATGACCTTAAAATCTTGATAAAAATTCACAGTGTATACTAACTTCAATGATAACATTTGAAAAATGGCATAAAATGTTTCTTATATGGTGTAAAAAAATAAATAATTTAATTATAAATTAAGATAAAAAATTATCGGGAGGACCTGACAAGGGCAATAAATGAAGTAGTGAGCACAATTCTAGGGCAGATGAAAACGCAATCGCTGGCTTCGTCAAAGGCGGAGCACGAGCCAAGACTCACCTAGGATAACAGGATATTTGGCAGATACAGAAGTCATGGTCAACAGCCACACAATAACGGCCAAGCTGCTGGTCCACATCGTTGTTGATGTCTGCGGACGTACGCGAGATCGGACAGACGCGACGTTGTCCGCCGTTTCCGACTTCAGCGGTCGCATCGCCGACCCGAGTTACATGTGACACGAACGATAACTGCGACAGCGCGATCGAAGCCTACGATCGACGATCGCCGCCAAGAGTGCAGCTGATGGTGGTGGTGCTGTTGCATACTATCAACGAATGTTATAAACAATATAAGCAAATAATTATTCTTATCGCGAGCGTGTGACACACATCCATAAAGATAAAGCTTATCTATTATAATAACTACCTATCACGGATCGTTTGATACGACAGACAAGGACACACCGCGTAACAATGATGGTCGCGTAGTACACGAATATATATCTATTAAGATCGAAACGCTCGATTGTTTCATGCACCGATTTAATTATTAATTTTATTATTCACTGAGTATTCCTCAATAATATTATATACACGACGTACAATATTACAATATCACGGTTATCTAGTTTAAAGACAATCAAAATATCGATAGATTGGTTCGATTGTTGTCCCGTCCTGGAGGTTCGAACGGCTCGAACTTATTACAGCAATATAATATTGTATGGATAGTTGAACATTTTTTTTCGAAATAAAATTCTACAAGTATGAAAATATCATTATCAATTTTAAATTTATAAACAATTTAATAAGATTCTCAGTTCACACTAGTCAGAAATCTTACCGTTCCGCAAACTATTTTAGTATATTTTGTTTAAATTTAAATAGTTTATATTTTAACGTTTCTGTTCGTTCATACATATAGTGAAGTGTGAACCGATAGTCATTCTTCTGTGCATGAGTGTTCTGTCGGGACTGCCGGAGTCTGATCCGGTCTGAACGGGTCTATATAAGTGTGAATGAACAACAGATATATCTGTTTACTGTCATTTGCTGGCAAAGTGGCAAACCATTCAGCATACCAAACATTTTGAAGTACATACTTATAAACTTTTTATTCTTTTTATTTTTTTATATTTTTCAAAGGTGATGAACTTAGATTTATTTATTTAACTTCTCCTGTGCCCGTAACTAGGTTTCGTGAGGCCCTGGTGTGAAAAATGTTATGGAGGCCCTATACCAGTATAATATCCTGGATAGCAATTTTATAACATTAATGTTTCAATAACATTAAAACTAGATTACATTTTAAATATTATCATTTAAACCACAATATAATGTTTTATAGAGTTTTGAGTTAATTATATAATTTCTTAAACATTTTCTCAATATTAATTGTTTAAATGTATGTTATTTTAATTGAATTTTTAATATTATACTTATATTCTAAAATATTATACTATATATTAATGATAATATATAGTTAATTATGATAAAAAAAATTTAAGTATCTTTTATTAAGGAGATATTATTACAATAACACAGTGACTAAAACTGGTTTAATATAAATCTCGTAGATCAATAATATGTTTTTATTAAAACTTGAGTAAATATTATAATAGTGCAATACAATTTATGAATTTTATTACAATTATATGATATTATGATGACTACAATTTAATCGGTTCCTATTTAGGGAAATAATGGCTTATCGTCGACGACAACAAAGCGATGGCTGTTTTATATTTATGTAAATACTAGTCAAACATTCAACATATTTTATTTTTATATGAAGACATTATTACTACACATCTCATTAATATAATACTACAATATATTATTATTATCACTGTGTTTCGCGTGATACTTTATTGTATATAAATTGATTATTATTAGGTCACAGATGTTGTAGTATTAAACAACTAGTAAAATTGATTACAGTATTGTATTGCACTTAAAAACAATGTTTTGTTATACATGTTTTAAATTTACTGTTATAATCTAAAATTTATTTATTATATAATTATATCTAATACTCAATATGTCCAAGAAAAGAAAACGGCTGTCGTCATCATAAAAGTACAATAAAGGTTACATGTATAAAAAAAAAAATAATAATAATTATAGAAACCTTATTAAATTATAACCTAATACACATAATTTGCTTAAATATCTTCAAAATTATTCAACCTCTTTGTGTACTTATTAACCCAAGTAATTTTCTATAAATTAGCTTCAAAATAAAAAAAATAAATAAATAAAAGTTGAATATTTTTAAAGATACATCTGAAAATATGTAGTATACCTAGGTTAAGATTTAAAATTATCCATAACTAAAAATATTTTTATTTTTTTCTTTATTAATATATACACAATAAGAGTATGAGCTTAAGACAATGAAGATGAAATTTTGAATGAAGCCTCCCACCGATGACATTTACGTCTTTTAATTATTTTGTTTTAACCTTTTTTTTTTTTTTTCTGTTAGGGATTAAGTAGGTCTTTGCACCATTTTCGCTTAAGGCAACGAGGAGGGTTGCCAGGGATGGTTAATGAAGCTAGATTTTTTATAAGTTCGTTTGGATGAGAGTTTAGGCGTAGGTGGAATCATTTATAATAATTGTTTGCCTCTTCCTGAATTGTTTTCATGTGTAAATCTTTATGTAGGGTATGATTTGATACATATGGTGGAGAATTGGTAATTTCTCTTAGTATTTTATTTTGAAACCGTTGAATTTTATTTAGATTAGAAATTTTTCATGCAAGGGTAGTGTAACCACTGGGTGACTCCTCCCATCACGTATTCATGTTAACATCTTCTAATATCACATATTCTTATTGTCCCTAAAGGAACAGATTGTATATACCTTATAAATAATAATAAAAAAAAAAAAAGATTAGAAATTTTTGCGTTGCCCTATAGCTGTAGGCTGTATGTCCAAATTGGCTTTAGGAGAGATTTGTAAAGGAGTAATTTAATATTTAGTTTTGAGTGTTTATTGTTGACGATTAGGGTTTTAAGCATTTGTAGGCGGGAGTTTAATTGTGATGTTAATTGACATGGTGCTAATTTAAGTGTAAATGTAGTATGTACTGATTTGGCTTGATTTATTTTAAAACGCCACTTTTTATACCGATCTTCCATTAATGAAAGATAGTTTTGTAAGTTTTTGGAGGCTATAATAGAATCTGGATTGGATGATATTATGACTTTATATCGTCCGCATAGTCGGCTACTAATGTGTTGGGCGTGGTCGGTTGGTCGGATGTATAAATGTTGTAAAGGATTGGGGAGAGGATACAACTAAAAATATAAAAGATTTTTTTCATATCTTTTAACACCAGATAATCATTAATCACAGCCTCGAGACATATATTGTATATTTTCTATGGTTATTAAAATGATAGTTTAGATTTAATTTTATGGTACTTGTGCGTTATCGTGCTTACCGTCGACTCGTCGCGACTACCTTGATTGCTACCCAAAGCTAAAAGTCAATGTATTTATTGATAAGATAATATGATAATAATATAAATAATATAATAAAATATGTGATGGTATAATATGTCAAATTTATAAAATAAATAAAAATAAAATAAAATTTAGTAAAAATGTAAAAGTCGATTTGTGATGGCCATTGATTTGCAATAGGTACTATTAAGTAAAACGTTGTACTTGTCTTCATTTTGATAGGTATTCCTCCATATAAATTCCGCCAAATAGGATTCAAAATGGTGTCTTGCTGTACTTCTATGAAGTTTGTTTCTCCATTTCACTGATCCTCAAAGTCTTTCTATTCCTTGTGTGTGAGCATGTGTACTTGGATCAACGAAATTATAAGAATGATTCACTGTGAAATGCTGATAGCCATTATTTTATATTGCGTTATGTGCCCCCCCCCCCCAGCAATCAGAGTAAATTATCGTCCCTTTTTCTATGTGTTGATGTATTTTTGACATCAAAGTAGCAGAAGACCGATCAGGAACTTCTACTAAAAATACCTCTTGTTTCACGGCATATTCCGCCGAAAATCCATTGCTAGGAGAGTACTCTTCCACAATTATTTTTACGTTTAGTGAATAAACTTTCGTTAATTTACACTATTTTTCCTTTTCCTCCAATTATTTTATTTCTTTTTCTCTCAAACTTATAACACATACTTCCCGTAAATAATTATTCCAATCATTCATCGTATTACTAAGTTGTAAGTGTTTTTCACAAAATCTCATTGAAGTCATTTCCTCTGTCCAACAAAACATGAAACGTAAAGCTTGCAAAAATGATATGCAGTGGCGGCACCAGGATTTTACGCCTGGTAGGGCCAACTTGAGGCACGTAATTTACTGAAGGCCATTTATAATACTTATAATTAAAGGAATGAGTGGGATATATCCTTAAAAATACTGCTAACATTTGATTGGGGGTGAGTTAGAATAACCATCGGCGTTTGATAAACTTATTATCCCCCAACCAAATTCTATCATGTCACTTTGCTTACAATAATATGTAGAATTTTGTTCATATTTTAGACTCGGTCGGCTGCTGGCATACATTACTTAACTTATTTACATAATAAAATAAACTATATTGAATAATTTAACGCATAATTTAACAGTTCTACCCACTTATAATTCTATTATAAACATGATGAGTTAATAACAATAGGTACTAAAATAATAACTGATTCATAATTATAATTTTTAAGAATAATTAGTTTAACGTTTAACTGACATTATTCATTGAAGTATACTAATTAGTATAATATATAATAATTTATTATACTGCTTATCTCTATTTTTATGTTAGAAATACATCGATAACTTCTTCAACATTCAATTGCTTTTGTCATCCTTCACTGAAAATGATATTTAAACTGACATTGTCATGATTTACAGAATTTTTATAAGTAACTCTTTCATAAGAAAATGCGTTCACGTTGAAGATGAAAACAGGAACTGGGGATTATACCTACGTTATTAGTTAAATTCAGAAAATGCTACTGGCAGCTTCAAAACAACAGAAATTGGTATATATTTTTATGTGATATTATTCATTTTCATATATTTTTAAAGATTTTAACAGATTTAACTGATTGACACTACTGCAATCAGATGAATAAGTTATAGCAAAGGTTCTAATACATCAGACGTTCGTGAAATGTAGCTTCTTGGATATATACGGTAGTTATACCACCAAATAGTTTTAGTTATCTATAAAGCGCTTATCACTTTGTGAAACGTCTATCTTTGCAACAGGATTATAAACGTTTATTTTATGAATCATCTTTGATGTATTGCTAATTTTTATATTTCAACAGGCATGCAATTTCTTCTAAATAT